GAATAATATGTTGCCCTATGCAGTTAATTTGTTGCACTAGGTTGCATCTCAATGATTTCATCTTCCATTGTTCTTTTGCAGATCAAGAAAAGGGTGCCCGACTTCAGTCCTGAGGCTTTGCTTGACTTTGGGTCTGGTATTGGGACTGTGTCATGGTAAGTTGCCTTAAATGCTCCCATGGGGCCTCATAAAATTCCTTTTTTGTGGAGAGGGTTTCATTAATTGCAGCTCCAGCTTCTATTGGCAAGGTCAAGTATAGACTATAGTTAGATCACCAATACTTGTGGGATATTTCCTTTGTTCTTGTGTACAAAACTCCCACACAACATGCCAAAAATTTCAAATCACTCCTATTTAAACCAAATTCACTTTCCCGGGTTGAAATTTTGACTGTATGTCCCTCATATAAAACACTTCAATTTGCGACAGATTTTTACCCATCAAAAATTTCCCCTTTTTGAGTTTTTTTCCAAATATCAGTTTCGTGAAATTCTTGTCTCCATCAGCAAGAAGGAGGTCATTATTAGAGGTGTACTTGAGCCAGCTCATTACTTTTTTGTGCCATTTGCAAACACTGAGTTTCAGATTCCACAAACAAAAATGTCAGAAGGGCAAATCATTATTCGTGAAATTTACACACTCCTGCGTCAAAGTTACCTCTTCTGTTCCACATGGATCAATTAAAAAAAAGATGTGTCTAAGATGTGGAGTGATGTGACCTGTGAAAAGATGACCTAACATCATTGATCTCTGTACCAAATTTGTTGTCTACAATTTTACCCTCTTTTGTCTTAAAGGGCTGCGCATGCTCTCTGGGGCAACACAATCAAGGAGTTCTACTGTGTAGATACATCCAGGGAGATGCATGATGTGGCAGAGGCATTGATGAAGGAAAGACAAACTGAAGATGGAGAGAGCAGAAACATCATCAAGGGTGTCTACTTCAGACACTTCTTGCCCATGTCACTACAGGTCTGGGCCCATTTTGTGTGGATGCGAACTCCCAAAAATTCCGTACAGCTGTCAACATTGTCCGTACAGCTGTCAACAAATTGGCCTTGGTATCCAGGACTCAGAGTTGAAATGCTGAGTTTACAATGTAGCTGTGCTAACCAGTATCTCACATGCATGCTAGTTATTTGTGTAGAGCAGCCAACAATGTGACCAGTAACTGTTGTACCCAGTATACTGGTGAACATGACGGATGGTAGTAAAAAACAGGTAGCAATGTCAGAGCCCGTTGGAAACTACATCAGCCTACATGGCAGAAAATTTGTGGTTTCCCCCCAAAATCAATGGTTTTATAAACATTTTCTGGTCGCTGCCTCCATTTCTCAAATTTAGCCTGGCTTGTTTTGTTTTCATTATTATGGACAGAAGAAATATGACCTTACGATAAGTGCCTACTCCCTGCTTGAGCTTCCAAGCAGAACAGATCGCCTGAATACCCTCCGGACATTGTGGCGTAAAACGGATCAGTTTTTGATACTCATCGAGTGTGGCACAAATGAAGGCTACAAGACCATCATGGAGGCCAGGGACTTCATTCTGAATGACATCCAGAAAGAGGAGGAAAGGAACCTGCTCAAAAGAAGGGTCGCCGAGGGTGTTACTAGGGAGGTTGCAAGGGAAGAAGTAGGATTGGTCGAGCATTCCACAACCCTTGCTGGTCACGTGTTTGCCCCAGTAAGTTATACTTTCTCTCGACATTAAGTCAGGCATGGTCTATGACCTTGCAATGTTTTCCCCAGAGGGAGAAAATACAAAACTAATTGTTAAGGAAACTTTGAGGGAAAATGGAAATGTTTGAAAATGCATGTAAATATATTAATACATTGGAATTCTGCTTCTTTACAATATAATTATTTTGGATGGGTGTGCGGTACCTCCTCTAAGAAAATTTTTGTGTGCCTTTTAGAAGTAAGATGAGATTTTTTGGGGGGACTCATTCTCAAGTTGGTTCCTACATAAAGCGTCATTGTCCTCTGCCTGTGAAGCATGCAACTTCTTTCTCCATATAAATTTTCACTGGCCTCTCAAAACTGCCCATTTAGGAATATGTAGGACTTGGCTAACTTTTCACGTCTCCAAAACGTAGAGGGCTTTCTTGAGTGACGCTTGTACCCACACTCTTTAGCTACTACCTATTCCTGCTGTGGTGGCATACTTCACAGAATTTAGTAGTTTCTAGTAGAATATTACATTTCCTATTAATGGACTTGTCTTTGAAAAAACAAATAAACATATTGAAAAAGCTTCTGACGTCATTTGAAGATTTATGTGGCTTGCATGTTTTGTGGTAGTGTCAGCATGACCAAGACTGCCCCAGGATCACAGACAGCTCCAAAACCCCCTGCAACTTTGAGCAGGACTTTCATCACTTCAGCAAAAGAGAAGAGATCATCAAGGAGCGATTCTCCTACCTTGTGCTCAGGAAAGGTCCCAGAATATCAGGTAATACACTATATAATGTTCAGTGCACGACTTTTAAATGCTGTGAACCCTCAGTCTCCATGCATTTGAACTCAGAATCCCCCATTCACAGAAGCAAATTCTTTATGCATATGCAGAAGTTAATTTTTGTGTACCTAAAACAACAAGGGGATATCAAACCCTATTTTAACCACATGCTGCCGGGTGGTTTGAAGAATGCAGTGCATACATACGGGTGAATTTCAAGATTTTCAGTTTTCAAAAATCTTCAAAGTTCAAACTTCATCATTTCAATTAATGGACGTTTACACCTACATGAATTACTGTCTGGTGGCCACTGTAGCCTGACAGACGAAATCTATTGATGCCCAAGTATTTCAGCCAGGCCTGCATCCTTGTAAAAAGAGCCCAGATTGTGCGGTGTTATATAACTTTCTTTTGTTCACGAACCTGGCACAGTGCACTGCTGTCCTCTTTTCAATAGGGGCCAGATTAGCGTGCAGCAGTGCTGTGTGGCTCATTGCTGCGGTGGTGGAGCGCTTTTGTCCCCGGTGATAATCTGCTTGCACTAAATGCCCCAAACCGTGGTATACTGTTTCAAAACAAGGCTGGATTATCTCCACTATTGAAAGTGAAAAATTGTCGATAACGCCCAGCAGCTCAGTCTTTTGTGCCGAGCACGGTCTTTTGTTACAAGACCCAGCTCTTTTGTCCGGGTTTCAGGCTCCCCGGTTTCATGTATAAAGCCTATGTGCTCGAAAACGGGTCCCCTGGCAGCAAGTGATAAAGCCAAAGGATGCATTGAAATTCCTTGGCTATGACCAGAAATTACATGCAAGCCTATGGCAATCAGTTGCAGTTGCTAGCAAGTGGCTTCCTTATCCAGCCATTGTCAAGCATCTTGCATGCAGCTAATGTGTCCAGTTTCTGTGAGGTACTCCCTCACCAGTGAAAAAGAAAGAGGTTGGCCCGACACTGGTCGTACTTTATGAAGACTTACGGTCTGCTTTACACAGCTCCGATCGAGATCAGTGATCCAACGTCGGTTCACTGACACCAGAACCCGCCTAACAGATGGAGTGAACCAGTGTTGGGATCAATCAACAAGATCCAGATCCACGTGAAACAAACAGGGCCTTCATAGATTGCATACATTCAGATCATATGTTCTCTGCATCAATTGCACAAGACGGAATTCACACCATACAGCTATATATATATGAAAACTAGAGTGCTGTCTCACGTACAAAGTAATGCCAGCTGGGCGCATCCATGTTTGTGCACAAACCTATGGAAAACTTGAAATGTTGTAGGCTATTGCATATGTACATCTGTGTTCTAAAATGATAAGTCAACAAAACTGATACGCAAACAACCTGAATGCACACTAAGCAAATGCGTGCACGTATGCACTGCATGTGAATTTTGTTGTGACATTTTTTAATTGGATTTTATCGGTACACAATGCTCATGACAGCTGCTGCTCCAGAGCTGTCAACTCACTCAACACTGGCTGAATTACGGGAACGACTTTGAATTTACCTGAACTTATTAATCAAAAGACAGTCATCAAAAGATATGCATATGAAATCGACCTTGCTCAATTGTAAGGGAAACATTCAATTTAAAATAATCAGCTATGGATGTGAATAAGCATGTGCCATTGCTCTGTATGTGTATACGTGTCTTATTCAAAAGACGCACTGACGTTTGTGTGTGTTGAACTTGCGTGTTGCATTTGGAATACATAATTGGATATTCATTGTATCTGATTTTGAATGTTCTACAAACACGCACAGAGATTCAAATGTCTGCACCCAGGACGACGTCAAATTTTCTCCACCCTGAGAATGAGAAGTTAGTGCTCTAGTTTTTATATACATGTATAGCTCAATGGTTCCCATACACAGGGTGCCATTGTTGCTATATGCAGGTAAGTTAGCACCCTTATTGAGACTAATCTGAGGACATGTCATTACCGCAGTGGCACAGCACTGACGCACATATTCTTAATCTTGAGGCCACATGAATTTTACAAGGCACATCACCCTGTTGGTGGAGGAGACCATGTGACATGCATGTACCATCTGCACGTGAGTATCGCACCACAGTAGTAATGGATTCTTATTCTGCTTGTCAGATTGATCTCAACTTTTTTTTTAACAGGTGATGATACTGGCCATTGGCCGAGAATTGTCCGTCCAGTTTTGCCACGTTCTCGTCATGTAATCTGCAGGCTCTGTTGTTCCAATGGTCAGCTTGAAGAAGCAGTCATCACAAGGGCCAAGCATGGGAGGTCAGTCTGTCTTAATTCAAGTGATAAGACACCCATTTGAGGGAAGGCAGGAGGTCCACTTCTCCTTGCTCTCTGAACAGGATGTTGATTGACATTTACATGAATATTTAAGTCTTTGAGTAGACCCATACCGGGACAGTCTCGACAATTTTTAATTTTATATTTATGCTTATTATGTAGAGTATATGAAACAATAGTCATCCGTTCTTTCAAGCTAATTTTGGAGAATTACGAGATCGATGGCTTCATAAACGGATTTGAGTTTCCAGTGACTTGATTGCTGCATGGAGGAAGGAAGCCGTTACATTTTTCACCCAGCACCAACACAAAACAACTAAACTAGAACTCTTGGCAATTTTGTCATTTTTCTGCCCGCAGTAATGAAACAAGTCGGCCTATAGACCTCTATCATAGGGCAGCCATCTTGCTTTTCTACCATTCAAAGCAATGTAACCAAACTGAGGCCGTGTCCAAAACAAGATTCCAGAGCTATGGCTACGTCTGTTGTCCACACATCCCCTTGTATTTCCAATGGAGTGAAGGCCTAGACCTAGCTCCAGACAACAGATTCAGAGGCAGCCTATGGCTGGAAGGACATATAGTCTGTTCCCTTCACATATTTATCAATGTGTGAAGTTGTGTTACTATTGCCATTGGGTCTACAGGGAACAAGACAAACATGGCAGCATGATGATAAAAGTCTATCAGACGGCTGTTAAGTGACTGAAGTTCTAGTTTAAAATGCCTCAAGCTACACACATTAGTGTCACAAGTATCTCCTAGCAATGAACAACCTCTCTTGAGTGAATGACTCTTACAGACATTGCTTTTGGAAGTCCATTTTTAGACATTCCCCCACCTATCCACTCAACCCACAAGTGCTGCCCCAATAACAAGCATATACACTGCTGCATATATAAAGGATTCCAAGTGTCAAAACTCTTCTCAACTTTCCCTGTAGGGAGCTGTATCGGTGTGCCCGGTACTCCGCATGGGGAGATCTTCTACCCATCTGTAGACCTCAGGAGAATGTACTGCCAGAACAACAAACGGACACTGAAGGACTACACTCTGACAGTGACTAAGCTTTAGCCAGGCCAGGTCCACATAACTTCCCTCATCTCAGAGCTTCCAAACTTTAAATCTAAACCAAGTGGGGATTGGAGTTTCCCTGGATAACTCCTCCAGGCATGGATGCATATTTTGGGGTAGGACAGGCTGCCACTTTAGAACACATTCTGTGGGCATTTTTTTAAACTTTAACATTATCATGAATGGCCAGTGTGTTACTGCCTCTGTCCCAAACTGGTTCAAAGTTAATTTGGAACAAGTTGTAGATCAAGGTGTTAAAGTTCAGATACACTGCATGTTGGAAATTTCTTAGAGAAGTGATTTCTTTCCACTTGGATTTATTGCCACATAACAGTACAGATGAGATGGTTTTAAAACTCTGTATATTTTGGTTGAAAATGCGTGCATCCATGCAGCAATTTTTTTCTTCTTGGAAAGAATGAAATGTCCACAGCCAGGTAACTGCAAACACTTGAGAAATGTTTCAAGTGTTTACATTTATCATGAAACTAATTATATAGGGAAACTGACTAGGTGCTTATAAATGATTATAGGTGAACGAAGAAATTGACTAGCGCAGGATTTGAACCTGCAGCCTCCAGAATACCGTCCTGATGCTCTACCAACTGAGCTATCCAGCCCTATGTTGGTGGCTCTTCCCATTTGTCAATATCTCTATTCGGGGGCACTAAGCAGAAGCCCTTAAACCTTAAACACCATGTAGCCAGGGATCACACCCAAATAACACACGTATGTTCACCCACATGCCCTTGTGCACTACTTAGTTGAGAGTTAGCACATGTGCACACGGTCACTTAACTGTAGATTTCGAGGCACGTGACGTTGGACATTGTTCTGACACTTCTTTCTGCGGATGGAGACTATTATTTATTTTTAACAAAATACAAAAAAATGAAGTTTACAGAGATAACCAGATAACTAAAGATTGATCAAACATTAAACCACTGTATTATAATGAACCCAGTTGTACCAAATTTGAAAAATTTCCGAAAAAAGTGATTGAAAAAAAAATAAACCCACAATCGGATTTGAAAGAAAATACATCCACGGTCTCTCCCACCTTCTCCAGTTTATCCAAACAAATGAAATGAAGTGCTATGTGTATTAAGACCTGATAAAAACATTGTTAGTATTTTCAAGTTATTGCAAATTGAATATTTTGCATGAGAATCATTTGTCCGTAGTAGTGCATGTATACGTTTACGTGCGTTGATGATGTACATGTTCATGTACAGTACATGTATGTGCACTCATAAATCATGGCTGACTGAAATTGAAAACTGAAATTGATCAAACTAACAAAGGACAATTCACAATAGCTTAAACATAACATAGTAACCTTTTTCAAACATTCTTTCAATTATTCAAATATGCAACATGTGTGGAAAATCTGGAGAATAAGTCAAGTTTTTGAGTTTAAAATACCCTTTTTATGTTTGGAAATTCACCCCATTTTCTCTGAAATGTCACTTATGATTCACAAAAAACACACCACAAACTGAAAGCCTGAAGCCTTTTTATATTTCTCTGGTATAAATTCAGCAAACTTTTACACGGTGCGGAAGATCTCAACGGATGAATTTTGGTATAGTCGTTTGCTGGCTAGCATCACCATGTTAATTAAGCAACAGAAAGTGACCACAGCTTTGCCGAATTTAAGTGCATGCACACAAACTAAGTGGAAGGGATGAACATACGTGAACACAATACAAACTGGGAAGTGTTGAGCAGGGATCACTCAGAGAGGATATGGCCTTTTGAACATAAATCATGAAACAAATACATGTATAGGGAAACTGACTAGGTGCTCGTAAATGTGTTTACATTTAGTTTGAAAAACAGGAAACATTTGTGTTTTTTATCGAGCTGCACTCCCAAACCCTCTATCTTTGTAATAGGTTTTCTTCCCAAACAGAACAGATAAAGTTATCCATCCTTACTAAATATGAGTCTTTATTTCTATAAAACGTTAATAAATGAGACAGATTCTTTTTTCTACTTTGTTTTATTAAATGTACATTTATTATCATCTCATTAATTTTGTATGTACACAGGGTTAACTTACAAGTTACAGTTTGTGATACTTAGCCTTCATGATTGTTGTGTTTCTGATGAAGCTAGTGAGTTTAACAAGTCACCACTGAGTAGGGTTGCACACCATGCCACAACAGTGCCAACAAGTTGCATGAACGAAAAAAGTTGTCTATGCTGGTTGTTCTTGCATATACATGTAACTGAATACAAATTGCTTCATGAGATGTATACTATACACTTTAGGGTCAAAGAAAGTACTCTCCATTTACAATATTCCTGGGCTCTGATATCAAAGTGGCAATGGACAAACAGAATGCTTTCTGGTATTTGATAATCAAAATACTCATCTTACTTACACCAGTGTCACTTTTCAATTCCTACAAATTCGTCACAAACAAGTTTGATGCTCGAGTTTTGGCACAAAATGTGATCTACATCTGGAATGCCCACTTGGTACTCGCAACATTACAGCCCTAGCCTTGCCAAATCCAGCAATACACTATACCAGTGATAAACATTTCACAGCAATGGCTCAAGAATCCTATCCAGATGCATATGTTCCTTAAACAGATGTACAATGTCTGTGAGCTACTAAGCTGAAATCTGTCAAGCATTGATGAGTTTACTATGGATTGACAACAGTGGCTCATGTCACTGAAATGTAAATATCCCGAACTGACAAGTTGGTGAACTAGTGACTTTGATCTCCCTTATTCTGTGTCAAGTTGTCAACTACTTTACTGTGAAGTAAAGAATCCCCCTCCCCAAAAAGGAAGCCTATTTCTTAGTTTTTGTAAATTCAACTTACAATACCAAAACAATGGTGAAATAAACAAAAAACATACAATCAAAAGCTAATGAGTGTAGCATGCAGAGTAATGTGATGACACTTCTACTCAAAATATTTTATGCTGAACAAAGGTAAAGAACTGGCAGGTAAATATGGATGGCTATAATGCCATATATAGTTTATTTATTTGGAGGCAATTATTAATTGCTGAGTTGTTTGGATTCTCCTTTTAGCTCAGCTCAAATGTGCTGCACAATGTAAGCGTCAGAAGTTGTTTCCTTCTCAAACTATTCTACTCTGAAACCAAATGACAATGTATTCTTCAAGGTCTACTTCCCCTGTAAATTGCATTTGACAAAGACATCTTGTCTCATACAACTGGGGCACCTTCACGTTTAACTGTGGGGTGAAGTCAGGGTGTAGTGACAACAGTTGGGATTTAAAGAAGTTTAGTTCAGTGGAGCAAAGACAGAATGGCTCTTTACAACATGAGTAACTCCATCTCTACATTTGTCAACTATATCACGATATGTGATTACAACATGTAAAATGCCAAAAACCTCCAAAAAACTTTGTAACAAAAAGTAAGAAAACAAATGAAACAAACAAAATTAAACATGATTTGATGAACTCCAAAAAACACAACTGACAACCAAGTTTAGATGCATTCCACAACTGGTAAATAATAACCGAATCTCATACAACGTTGCTGTTGATTGAGCAATCAGTTCAAATTGAAAATGTCTATGCCTTTGTTACAGCTGGAGAGATGTTGGAGGTGACTATGTTGAACACTAATGCCTAACATGCAGACAAGCATGAGAAGGTGCTAGTAATGATTAAATATCTCAAGTAAACCCCCCCCTTCTTTGCCTCCCTAATTGGGACCATTAAACCCAGCAGCCCTCTCCTGCACTAGCTTCAGTTCCTCAGGATCGTCAATGTAGATTTGCGTCTTGTGGGCATAGGCCACATGCTTCACCAATTCCCACTCGTCGTCTGCCTCGTCCTTGCAGTAGGCGCAGATCCACCGGGAGGGGCCTGCCCAGGAAGATAGAACAACATTTCGACAGTCTTCGAAGGAAGGACAGTGCGGTTAGCGTGCATAGAGATACAGAAGCAGGGGCAAAGCTACACTCCCACTGCAGTTGGACATGCCACAAGTTGGTAGCACCGAGAGTTGCAAGGTGAGGCAGACAGCGCGTTGGGAGTTGAGGAACAAAAACGGAGCACACTTTCTCTAAATGAGCCTTTGACGTTATTCAGAACAATGGGCTCAGTACATCACACATTTTATCCATGAGGTTGATGACAAGAAAGGACAAAATACAAATAAAGAAATACCATCCAAAAAATGTAAGTTTTAAATCAAAATTTTAAAGTTCGAGATCTGAACCAAATGCCCCGGCTGAAAGTACAGCGGTGAAATTCTATACAAATTGAGCACAAATGACCTTTGAACTCTTTGCCCCCTTTCCTTCCACTATATGTACATATACAAATATAGTAAGCACTGTCTTCATTATATGTCATCCATGTAGATCTGCGTCTGGTGTTCTCTAGCCACGTGCCTCATCAACCCCCAACAGCTGTCTACATGAACCTTGCAGTAAGCACACATCCAGATGGGTGGCTCTGCACAACACAAACAGCGACCCGTCAGATACAAGGCAAGATTTATTCTACTTCCTTTTTCATTTTTTGGTTTTGGTCTAATCAAGGTAATATAGGTTTTCCTAGCTAATTTCGGATATTGTGCAAATGAGTTAGTAATACCAGCATTCGTTTTCGAGTGAAATAGAATGAACATTCTTATCTCCGTTTCTATTTAACAAATAAAAATTCTATTTCAAGGAGGGTGCATTCAGTCGTATGGAGTCTGCGTTCAGTTTCCTGATATTGCACTAGTTTAATTGAATGCACCTCTGCGATCCTGCATTCATCCTAATTTAAACTCAAGCTATTTCAGAAAATATGCAGGTGCTTTCACCTGTGTTATTTAAGGTATGCCTGATCAAGAATTGGAATTTGTTCGTGTACTAACAGAAGTTACATCATAATACAAGCGTTTAGTTGACTAATAAAATGTTTGAATATTCATGATTGAAATAAACCATTTATGCTGTCATTGGAAACTACCGCCTATTGCAGGAAACCTTTAAACACCAGCGTTGAGGGAACCTTCCGTCTTGTGCTGCGTTTTAATCATAGAGACCTTACCTTTTTTTACAGTTTGATAAGAAACACTATAAATGAGTAACATGACATTTATTTTACCTTGTATATACATGTATGTTCTTATCAAAATGAACGTATATTTTGTGATTTTTAATTACAGTTATTGAAAATGAATACTCACTTGGTAAAAAACAGATTTTCAGCGAATAAGAATGCATATTTGTTGTAATTGCAGAGAAATACGTCAATCCCAAATCCCCGTAAAGTATTTGTATTGTCTTTAATGAAATGCACATTCATTTATTCGAAGGACGCAAAACGAAGTTGAACGCTTGTTATTGCAAAAATGAAACCACGTTTTTTTAAGTCGTTTTCAAAATCTACGCTAAATTGAAATTTTGTTTTACAATTTTATCGCACATTTCCAAAATTGATCGGGAAAACCTATATTTAAGCATTTTACAGTAAACAACACATGTACATGGCTTTGTTATTTTCTGCATAATTTTTATCCACGCAAGAAGTCAGATCCTAATACACGCATGTTGTAAAACATCAGTCATAAGTCACTCATTCGGTCTGAAGTGGCAAGCTATTCCTATGGACTGTGAGAAAGGCATTCCTTTCTAAATGTTCACATCTCTTTCCTTTTGACCAGGCATATGTGACTCCAACCGTACAAGACTTGGCTCTAATTCTGAGTTTCATTAAAATCTCACATGGGAAGACTTCCTTCAGGAGCCTTCTGCCAGGAGCCATACACACTCACCCTGTCCAGTGAATTGCTGTGCTTTTTTGCCGGTGAAGGTTTTCTGTTTCTTGGCTGCTGGTGGGCCTGAAGGCACAATGACTGGGAGGGTGGCAGGGTCTACGTAACCACTGTATCAGGTAGGCAGAAAAATGGAGTAAAAGGTGAAGTACATGTAGAGAATTTTAACCTTCAGCTTTTCCCACAGCCAGTATTTATTTTCTTTCTGGTTTTTATTTTGGTGGGGGGTGGGTGTTTTTTTAATAATGGCAAAGAGGCAGGCAAACATTGACACAGAATTTAAAATGAGAAAAACAGCTCTCTGAAAGGAAACCTAAGGAAAGGCATCCTTTCTGGAAATGCAACATCAGCTTCAGAAAAAGAACTGATGGAGGACGTGCACTCCCGGGCTTTATGCCAATGCAAGTACCTCATATGTTGAACTTTGACAGTGTCAACCCTTGCGACATCTTTAACATGGCAGGATTTTTTTCAAACCAAGAATAAAAGATTGAAAAAATGAAGTCCCTATTCATAGCCGTTTCAATTTTTTTTCAGTATGACCACTACGGGCCACAGCATAAAAAAGAGTTAATCTGAGAATGCCAAACTTACATGTAGCTCGCAGTTTTTGAAACAAAACACCACAAAGCTACATTCTGTGTAAACTGATCTTACCCTGTGACATTTCCCTGAACTCTCTTGAAACCCTTAGGCCGGTTTGGGTTCGGCTCACTGGCAATTCTAACATCTGCAAGACAATATGATTTAATTCACTGAAAGTAGCCAAGGTTCAAAGAAGTTGATTACCACTCTGGGAAAGAATTCCATGCAGAGACAATACTTGTCATTCTGTTTATAAATCGTCGTCTAAAAAATTCTAAGTGTTTTCTGCGTAAATGCCTCAATATTTTCCTGCCTTAATTTCACTTTTGAGGACATTACATGTACATCTGTGGTAAACCACTGCCAGGGAAATGAGTGATGTCCGAGTATGGAACTCTTTCTCAACACTGCCTTTTACACTATGTGCCATCAATCTTATTCAAAATACTACTTAAACATGATAAATTTTGATGGCATCAGTTTTAAAGTTTGAACTAATCCAAGGATATGCCATACATGTAACTGTGGTGGTACCATTAAACTAGAGCGTGCAAGCAATTCGGCAAGTCACAACACACTTCTGGGTTGAAAAGGAATGTGATGTGGTTATAAAATCAGTCTACATTATACAGAAAAAATGCAACAATATTTCTTTTGAATTTGTTGCAGTTTGCGTTAGTTTTACACCAAAATGCACAGTAGCATCTTATAGCTACAGATTCCCCGTTTCCAATGATGTGTTATTTATTCACACACGGTCATGGATGGGAGAATGATCATTGTTTGGGGACAGTGAGACAAAGAAGGCTATGGATCAAGTTTCACTTGGAATACCAGCAGAAGTCCTATTCAGTTCTCCCTCTCTCCTATGAAATGTTTGTAATGGATAGGCCAGGTGTATTCACAATGCAATCAGGTGAATCATTACATAATATCTAAATGGTTGGCTAGAGGACCACGGTCAGGTTATCTTTCTTGGAATAATATTTGCACCATCTTTAAATTTTTGGGTATGATTGTACAAAGCCACAAATACTCTCTTCTCTGTGGTCAACCATCGTCTTGGACAATGATGGTACATGTGTACATGTAACTTCATGCGCGAACTACTGCACATGCTCTTTGTAGGCCTAAAACCTATGCAAATGATTCATCTGATTGCATTGTGAACACACCTGGCCTATCCATTACAAACATTTCATAGGAGAGAGGGAGAACTGAATAGGACTTCTACTGGTATTTCAAGTGAAACTTGGTCCCAAGCCCTCTTTGTCTCATTGACCTCCCCCCCAAAATGATTGTTCAGTCATCCATGGCCGTGTGTGAATAAATAACATATCATTGGAAAGAGGGAATCCATGGCTTTAAGGTGCTACTAGGTATTTTGGTGTTTAAACTAACATCATCTCTAAAATAAAAATAAAAAGAAATTTTGTTGCTTTTTTGGATACACTCTGCAACAAGGATCTGTCTCACGTAATGGATACTGTACAGTTTCTAGTTAACTCTCCAAATTCTCATCAGATGAAATGAGATCACATTGACCCCTGAACAATCTTTCTTACCGATGGGCTGCCGGCACAGGACGGCTCCATACTCCCCTTCAATAGCCTGCCTTGCATTCAGCTCATTGCTGTATTGAACAAAACCGTAGCCTTCGTGGATGGAGATGCCCGTGATGTGCCCGTACTTGCAGAACCGGCTCTCTATCTCCTTGGCCATCACCAGGCCTGTGTTCAGGTTGCCGATGAAGACCCGGGATGCCCTGGACTTCATGTCATTGCGGTTAGTCACGTTACTGATGCCTGGAGTCAGGCCAGCGTACCTGTTGGTGTGGTCGACCATCCCTGTCCCGGGGCCGTGAGGGCCATGTGCACCCCCACCCCCACCAGTAAACTGAGGACCAGCACCTTGGGGGTTACCAAAGCCCCCATGTTGACTGTAGCCGAATCCACCAGGGTGCTGGCCTCCAAACATGTTGTTCATAGTGTAGCAGCCTAACTACGAAGTGTGGTAATGTATATGAAATAAACAAAATTGTAGTAACCAGTACATGCTGTTCTGCAGGAGAGACATTCTGCATACTATCAACATGAAGCTATTCTACACAGCAGAAACATATCTTAATGGAATACATGGAAATGAATGTGACTGAATAAGGTAATATCAAAGAAATGTTATATTCTGCAAACAATACCATACTCAAAACGAACCCATCCAAACGTATTTCAAGTTTTTTATTTAAACTAAAAATGATTTTCAGGAGGTAGGATGGGTGAGATGGGGGATACCATCTTTGAAACTGCCACAAAAATATAAAAATATTTCATAAAATACTGTTTATAACTCCAATTCAACAATCCATCATTTGGATGCAAATGCTAGAATAACAATTAACAGTAATTCTTTGATGTGTAATGTATATGACATTAAAATCATTAGATTGAAAAGAAAATAAATAAATTGAATAAAATACTCACTTTGTGAAAAATGTTCTTCAATAAATGTCAGCAAAAAGGATCCCAAAAAAGGCTCCAAAAATGTTGCCAAAAATGTCACGTTGAATATGAAAAAAACACTGTGGGTAGATATACAGATAAAAAAAAAGATAATAAGAAAATAAAAATAAAGAACAACTTCTACAGATACTATATTTTTATCTTGTTCGGGAATAGTCAGGGTAAATAACCCCCCCCCAAAAAAAATAAATAAAACACCTAACAATAATATTCTTCCCCAGCGGGTATCATTTCTCCAACTGACTTCAATACAATTTTATCAGTTGTTCACCGAAAAGGGAATGGTGCATTGATTTGTGGGCAAGTTAGTGACTTGAAACTTAGTTAGAATTGTTAGTATGGTCACATATCATTACTGTCTTGGTTTCAAAACAATTGCGCTTCTGGCACCTATATAAAGTCGTTAAACTTTCAACTTACCTCGCCAACTCTACAAAAATCACAACCAATGATACATTTTCTTCAAAAAACAGACAGAATTCTAAACATGGACATCACTAGGTTTTCCCTGCAGGCAGGGAAAATATTGAAGCGTTTACTTAGAAAATACTTGGAATTTTTCAGACCACTCTCATACAGTTGTTACACATGTCGGGTGATTTCTGAATATGGAGTAAGTGTCTAATTAAGCCACTTGTCCCAAAGATGGGCAAATTTGGACAGACAGTTTTTGTTTGTTCAAAATTTACAAGCCCCAAATTATTACATATATCTGTTACACTGATGAAGAACTCTTCATGTCTCCATCCAACATATAGGATGCAGTGGAAATATGGCCTCAGATAGCACCCAGTGGTGTCAGTTTCAAAAGTATTCCTGGTAAAGGACAGGCAGTTGACCTTGGCTGCACTGGGAAAGGACAGGTGGCTATTCCAATTCTACATAAACTCTGTATGGAACTATTTCCCAGAAAGTTACTACAACCTTTAACACTTACGGTGCTGACCCAGAACCTACTTTTGGTGTACATGATTGTTACATTTTTTAACCACTTGCTACTGGGGAACCCCATTTCGAGCACCATGGATTTATACGCAGAGTCGGGGTGCCCAAAATGGGACAAAAGAGATGGTCCGTGTAACAAAAGACTCTACTTGGAACAAAAGACCTGCTGCAGGGAATTGCCATCATTTTTCGGCTTGCATTTTTCAAAGGTCACTGTTTTTAAACAGTATACCACTGTTTTAGATATAGCGCGCCCGCAGATTAGCACCGCGGACAAAAGTGCTCCAGGGCCCCCATTGATGAGCGACACAGCACCACTGCATGCCAATCCAGCCACATTTGAAAAGACGCCCCTCGCATTCACTAGGAACAGAGGAAATTATGCAACACCTCACAATTCTGGGCTCTCTTTACAGGGCGGCAGGCCTGGCTGAAATACTCCAGAGTCAATGAAGGTGTCTGTCAGCTTAGAGTAGCCACCAAACAGTCATTCTTGTGGGTGTAAACGTCCATTAAATGAAATGATGAATTTTTGAAGAATTTTGAAAACTGAAAATCTTGAAAATATCCCATATGTGTGCACTGCATTTGAAAAAGCAAGTGGTTAATGTTTACTTTTCCCAGCTGGTTGGTTTGAATCCACAATCATCCCCTTTCTGAATTAAGACATTGTTCCAGCACTCCTGCAATGAGCAATAGGATACTGCTATACACGGCGCATCATGCGCACATGTCGCACATCTCGCCCAATGTGTGTTTCCAGGTCACAGCAGCTGCCAGGATGGTTCCACAATGAAAATAACACAAGATGTCAACCCCAGCCACCAAAATTGGTCGAGCCAAGATGTGGAGCAAGTGCAATCATTAATGGGTTCAACACATGGGCAGTCTAATAAACACGAATGGCAGGAACGAAGCAACAGTCAACGGGTGGAGGTGAGAAATGGTAAGCTAAAAAATCTCATTTTCTTTCAAAAATACTCTGTGTCATGCTCTGAAACTTGGTTATCCCGCTTTTTAGGAGGTATACAGATTAAGCAGATATGCCAATGTTTGCTGACAGGGGAAATTTGATTTGTTAACCTAATATAGGCCTGGCAGATTAAGCAAATTTGCCAATGTTTGCTGACAGGGGAAAATTTGATTTGTTAGCCTAGGCCTAGCTGTCTTACACCCGTGTCACTGCCTGTGAACCATTTCACCACAAAAATTCGATTCAAACCCCATGGCGTTACGACACCATGATGTAAACCTTGCTGGCTCAAAGTCAAATGGAGTATGACAGAGTAGTGACTTTGAGTTCTTGAAGTAGTTTTTAATTTTATCCCCATAGGCTAGGCCTAGGCTACAGCCTATCTCTATCATGATATGTACATGTGTACAGTGTACGTAGCACTGTTACACCCCAACTATAGCATCAGTCCCAACTACAGTTGGGCCCGTCCCAACTAGAGTGCTTCAGTTGGGCCGGCCCAACTACAGCAGAGAGCTCCTGTGTGCATGATGTGCCCATCATGTGCCCAAGCCAAGTCATATTGTTTACAAATGTCATGTCATTGGTCATACTGCCTTACTGGGCTAAGTGCCACATTTTTGATAAATTGTGTCAAGTGTGAGACGCATTGACTTGGATAATTTTGAGACATTTCCCACAGACATTGGTCAACAATAGTTGGGCCAGCCCAACTGCAGCACAGTTGGGACTGTCCCAACGAAAGTTGGGACTTACGCTATAGTTGGGGCATAACAGTAGGCCTATTCTGTATGCATGTTCACGTTATTCCACAACACATTCGCTCGCCATTTCAAAATCAATGCAACATGCATAATTTTTTTCATCAAAAACGTAAATGTAACAGTGTTTAATACGTGTAACGCATGGGTCTGCTAATTTGAAACTTACCGGCTGCTACAATTCCTGAATTTCCCTACATTTGTAACGTCAGTAGTTAGCTACATTTCACACAAGCCTGGAAAAATATAGTATGGCTGCTCACTGGTAAACAAATTTCATACCATGCCGTTAAGTGTCGCGGAATAGACCAGTCGATCGACGGGTACCAAGGACAGGTGTTACCGGGGGTACCACTTTCATGTTTGGCTGTATACAGGTTAAAAAAAACAACAACAAAATAATGATTAAAATACTTTTAAAAAATGATAAATCTATTCTCTGATTCGTGTATATTGCAAATATGCCCCTATGTTGCCATTTTAGCTCTTATTTTCTTAATATGCCGACGTTGAATATGTTGTCAGATACATAAGTTGAAAACTCAAACGTGACAATGTACAACGTGAAGTTGTGTGATTCTCTCACAACTTCAAGTTGTCTTTCAAAAGTTTTATCATTTATTTATGCATTTATTATTTTCCTAGAAATTTATTTTTAAGGGTAATTAAGTTCGTAAAGTACAGAAATGAGGTTTGAGCTAAGTTTCTGTACAGTGTACACTTAGTTTATTTCCACCTTCGCCACTGGAAGAAAAGTTATTGAATATACAAGAGCAGGTGTAAATTTTGACCTTGTTGTATACAGCAGTAACAGAACCACGGGACCGCCATTCATGTTGTCGCGCCGGTTGGTATGCAAACAATTTGGCGGCACTTTAATGTGGACAACCTATTGACCTTGGAGACGGTTTCCGAACCCCGAAATGTTAGGCTGAAAACATTGTACTCTGATAGGTCAATTCCTTGATTGATATTGACCTGGGAAAATTGCCAGCCAATCAGCGTGGACAGGCTATATGCAAATTTGATAAAATCTCATTGTATGAATGTATGACAGACACGAGTCGTCGGGGTCCTGGTTGGGACCGTCAAATCAATACCAGGTTACACAGCTGATTATTGAAGAGTGTTTCATTTCTTTATAGGTAAGTACGAAATAAATACCGTTAATAATCTTGCCTAAACATGAATAAATAATTTTTAAAAAGCTGATAAAATAGTAATAAAATATAGTTCATATTCAAAATTGTATTTGAAGTAAAAGAAAAAGTTTTAATTGTTAAAACTGTGACAGACAATTAAAAGCACATCCCTTTAAAATAATTTCATTGATCCATTATGTCTACGTAAGGTCATTCATCGGTCGGGTATCTTTCTGTGATGACCGGGTGTGCTCGATTTCGCGATCTGCTTTGTACTGAATGAAACCTGCTGCCAACATACTGAAAGCTGGAAGGCTGTTCAATTTACACCAAATATTGTCGTCTTTCGCGACTTCCTTCTAGCGACAGTTGTAACCGAACGTAAGTATGTGAATTTGGTTGTTTAGGACCCCTTCTGTGTTGGTTTATTCTGTTGATTAATTCTTCATATTTGTGGAAGAGATGTTTTTGACGACATAGAATATTTGATCGATTGTCGGCATTCGAATTGAACTTGCTTTTCGTTGCACGCCCTCTGTCATGTCTGTGCATATACGAAAACGAGCGAGCTAAGCATTACTTTCCATTCGGGGTTGAACTTCTTTAAAATAGGCCTCGAAATCCGTAGGCATATTATTTGTTCAAAACCTCACATAGGCCTACATGCATTGAAGGAAATGAAACGGAGAAGACCCTGTGGGGCCTTGCGTTTGTAGGCTTCTTAGGCCTACGACTTGCCAAAACGGTTATGATGTAGTGGTAGACACGGTCATGACGGTACAGTTAATTTGGCATGCTCTTTTGCCTGTATTGTAAATGGTTGATTCATGGGCATTCCCCTGGCAGAGTTCATGTTGAGACTTGTTCTTCTGTAATATATAAGACTGTCTTAACATCTTCTGTGCGGTGAACTTTTGAATATGAAGTTCATTAAGTCGGACCCTTTATAGCCTTTAACATATAGTCTTTATTTCTTGTTTCATTTGTCTTGTGTCATCTTGCTTATTCTAAAACTTTTTGTAGGCAAATACCATGAAAGCTATCAAACTGGTTACATGGTGATGATGATGTACATACATTTAGACCTTTAAATTGCTGTAGGTTGTCATTTGATGTGAAGATGGAGGATGCTTTAGGTTTATGCTTATAATGTTCATTAAAAAAGGGGGATATTGGTATCTGCTTATAGCAAGGTTAGGTGTTGTATTGTACCAGCATTTACCGGGGGTACCCTTTTTAATTAGGAGGCCGACACTTACCATTTACTGGAAGGCGCAGTGATGTGTTATTCCTGCATGCTTTCTCCAAGTGATACCCAAACCATCAATTCCAAAGCAGTACAAAAGAAGGTCTTTCGTCTCCATGTTATAATAGCCTGATTGTACATGTATGTTCGCTCTGAGTAGCCACATCTATGCTTGATGTTAGTTGGACCAACCCAGACTATACTTTATGTTAAGTAATTCAATCAAGAAAGAAGCCACCAACATCATTCATACTTCACCCACAGGACAGAATGGATGCTGAAGTCCTGTATAAATAAGGGGCATTGGCACATCAGTTTCCCAGTGGGTCTGATTGTTTGTGCTATATCATGTACATGTATGTATTCCTTTTGAGGTAGGGTTAGGGTGGTGAGAATGAGTTGATGCTACCATTAATGTCCTTGCTATTGTAAACTATGGTATTGTTTTCTGCTGAGAAATACAAACATGGTGTTTCAGTTTGGTATTTCCATGCCATTGTCAGAGCGACCAAGGCTTATTTCTCTTGCATAAAATTGTTAAACTCTGGCAGCTGGTTAAGGTTTGTGACTCCAGAACATAGTGTCAGGTGTCTGAATCCAGCAGCTGGGTCACATGTTGTGACATTGGGCAAGTTACTTTACCCTCTCTACCTCACTTTACTTCCCCTGTCCACCCAGGAGTACGAACTGGTATCTGTGAAGGGAGAAATGGTTGTGTTTAATCAAGGAACTGAATTATTTTAGAAATATTTATGGGCTTTGTGAGCAGGGGTAATAATGATGTAGATCCTGGAGCACCAGTAATAGTGGATATGAAGGCCACACCAAAGTATGCACATAGAGTGAAATGTGAAGTGAATGCATTCCAGGTTGTATGTATTTGTACTTTGTCTGCACCTGATGTGGCCTTTCCTTGCTTCAACCACAAATTGGTCTGTGTACACCTGTTCAGGTAGCTCTTGCTTTCACTGTCAAGGAGTTTGTAGGAAAAACCAGCCAGAAAAGTCTAGAATATTGGGTTCAAGTTGGGCCTGAGTTTAAGAATACATGTACCTGCCTACCCAGGAGCAGATTGATGAAACTTTGGAAGGTTTACTTGTAGTTATGCTTCGCAGTTGAAGTGGAACAAAGAATGACTTCAAGATCGTTGGCCTGCAGTAGTTATGACAAAGCAATACATGTATGTACTTGTGCATTTCTTAAGTAAAATACATGTAAATTTTGTGATTTCTACTCATCTTTACTTTGGATCTATTAATTTATTGATTTTATCTAGTTTGATTTAAAAAGACTCTAACAGGCAAGTTTGACAATTGATAATGAATGGATTGCATTGATATAGTATAAAATGATACTAATTACTCATTGGAAAAGTAGTTTAGGAAATTATAGGATTGAAATAAGATAAAAGTGTGGAATAATTGAACCAAGATAAGGAAATGACCAGTGCAAGTAATTTGTAGGATGATCAGCTTTTGGTACATCATGTATGCAGAGCTGCTTGTGCGACAGTCGCCCCTGATACTTGTAGTGCCCCCCCCCAGTTACAGTTGTGTAGGGGGGGTAGAAATTAATGGCGACGATGGGTCATTAGATCTGCGCATTTGTGTATCCAACAGGGTTTTATATTCAGTAGAAACCACAAGACTGACTTCCAACGTATTTTATGGCTAACATTTGAATTCCCATGTATGGGCGTGCTGTAATATCCAGAGTAATTCTAGAAAATGTAAGGAAATTAAAATAACAGCATTAACCCAAACCCCCTAGGCTCCTGCACTAGAAAGCATACTGAACCTCACAAAATCCAACAGGTTCATGTACTTGTCTATGTACTTGTACATGCAGGTTACTGTACCAAGCCTGATAAACTCCAACAGAATGAGCCTGTTGGAGTTTGAGTGATATGATGTGGATGGGTCTATGCAGTATAGGATGACTTGCACTGAACAGTACCAAACCTGACAAAATCAAGCATAGTCCAACAATTGGTAGAGCAAGCCAGACACTGCACACAGTGACCCGTGTATGTCCCAACTCACGCAGAATCCAACACCATCTCCCTGGGCCTTTCATCCCAAGTCTCACAAAATTCAACAAGTTCCTTAGGTATGGTACCAAACCTGCCCAAACCTCACAAAACCTGCTGTTGGAGTATGGCAGGTTTTGGGCAGTTTTCAAATTTACAGGTGCACTCTCTTTCTCCATAGCTGTTGGGAACATGCATATCGTACATGTACATTGTAACTGTATCATAGTTATTGTTTAACTAAGAACCTAGGGACTCGAGAGACCCCTCAACTCAGTCAAAATTCCTAACAGTGAAAATTTCCCCCAAACGCGGTTCTGGCCAGGATGTGCACATTGGTGGTTGAAAGTGTGCTGATTTCCATTAAAACCCAAGCTTCTTCCTGTTAGGCCAAGACTGGCTGCCGTGCTAAACTTAATTAAAATGTGTGCGCCAGTAGCATGGCAATAGCACAGCAGTTGCGCTAAATACTGAACTTAAATTGAGCAGTGTTGTACCACTGCCATTTGGAACAACAATGGCGTGGCACATACCTAAAGGGTTTGCCATGCCAAATTCAATTTGCCAAGCCGAATTGCATTAAACACATGCTATTGCCATGCCGAACTTAAAAATATTGAATTATTTGAGTTCGGCACAGCAGTTGCATGGCCTGTAGTATTGGCCTTAGTTTGTCCCTTCTTCCACCTTGCAGATCATACCTTCAAGTTCAAAGAGGATTGACTTTTACCCCTGACTCGTGTATTTCTTTTTTTGCTTCAGTTGATACTTGGACCCTCTAACACAAGGTGGCCATGCCAGACTTCCAAGTTTCTTCACACGTTACAAGTTGTGGGCCGAGTGGCCCAAGCCTCCCCCTAGAAATTGAACACCATGTCCCAGCAAGGTTCAAGCAGTGAGAAGCAGAGCTCAGCAGCAAGAAACACGGCTTACCATGCAGGATTCCCTAGACAAGGTGCATTACGTGCCCAGCCTTGATTAAAACCTAGTTCCTGATAAGTTGATCCTATTTACTCTGTTAAGTGAAGACACCTTGTGCGTGCATGAGTTCGCTTGTAGTTGGTGTGGTGTAAACTATGACAAATTTCAATCGGACAGGGCCCTAAGCATCAGGAACTGCATGTGGGCCTAGGCACATTGAGGCCAACCTTTTGAAAAGTCCTCCCAAACTAAAGCCTTTCTTTGAGTCAATCAGTGTTTAGCTCAAGTTCGACTGGACCAAAATGACTGAGAATGTTCCTGCTCCCTGTGGATGTGATGTCAATCTATCGCAGGTTGCTCCCTGGCTAAATCCAGGGGCTCATTGAAACTGTACCCACACTGGACTTGGTTTTTTGAAGGGTTCGCCAAGACAGTTGTATAATGACAAGTGGTTACAGATGTGACCACTGTCTGCACTTAGACTTTCAACCTGGGAACATTTTGCCGAAACCATGGGAAAGGTACATGTACATGTAAACAAGCTGTCAGCATGACTCATGACAGCGCTTTGCAAGACCTACATAAATGTACTACACAATGCTGACAACCTTTGTTATCATCTTAGAAATTGCACTGGTAGCTCCAATCAAACCTCTGGCTATCAAATAATATCTGCCATTATTGCAACTGATGGAGGGAAAGCGCACTGGAAACTTGCCACATATGCACCACACTGTGGTGAAACACACAAAGTACACACGTTGGTGCCCCTGTGCAGTGTGACTTCACTCTCAGGCCAAATGTACACTCTCCAGGGCCACTTTTATGATTCGCACTGTCCACACTGGACTTGTCATCTCAGGGAAAAGGTATTTGGTCAGTTTCCTTGACAGCAGTTGGCCAGTAGAAGTAACCTCTGGACTTGGGACAAGTTACTGAAAGGAAAACATCCCAGGCTAGAAACAGTATCCATCATCTTGGTAAGCTGTACCAAAACAGTCCAGTGTGGCCAGGGCTTTACACTCCTAGTCAGAGAGAGGCAAGTAGGGATTTAGTTGTGTGCTCAAGGCCACAACGTCTGGCCATCAGCTGGATTCCAACCCCTAATCCTCTAATGAGTCACGATGAACCCTAATCTGTGTGCCACCCGGTCATCCCAGCCCCTCACTTTTCTGCCCTAGAAAGGTTCATGTACTTGCATTCTGTTCCGATTGCATTTGCAGCATGCAATCATCCCATATTGCACGGCCTGCAGTGGTGTACACTGTAGGAAACATCTAAAGATTTCACCTAATTTTTTTATTACAGATACTTCAGTCTAGACCTGTCAAATACCTTCAAGGTTTAAAACCAATGAAATCTATCTCAAGTATATAAATGTTACACCATCTTGAGATCATCAGTGATGCAGCCAGTCGATACTGTAAACATGACTCCTGTTTGAACAATGTAGATTTTGAAACAGATTGAACATGAGCCAGAAATTGATAAGTGGCGTTAGATTGTAAGAAACTGAGAAAGTGCTTTAAGCAACTAGTGAAAGTGGAGCTTCCAGATCTGCCTTTATTGAAATCAGGTTGTCCTCGTGGTACATTGTAAAACTTCATGCTTGTACATGCATTTGCATTGTAAAAATAAGGTGTCCAAATTGGCCGACAGGATGACCAGAAGAACTGGACAACCCCTTTGGCCCAAACCTTACACAGAGAAATTGACATAGACACCGTGTGTTTTTTTAAAACAGGTCTGCCGTTACAATACCGAGCAACTGACACAGTTCATCACGCTACCTCAGAAACACCTCATCATCCTTCACGACCACCAAACTTTGCCCAGCCATGGAGAGTCGAGCACCCATTGAGCCACCACACCGTCTCAGAGAGAGTGTACTCAGCTTCTCCTGAAGCGACAAGGATCTCTTCAATGGGCAACAAGAATGATCCCAACAAGAGTCCGACATCTCTTGGCAGCACTGGCGCTTTGAGCAGCAAAGGTGAATTATTGGGGACAACAGACAGGCAGGATAGAAACCAGCTGAAGTTGGTACGAGCTGGAAGTCAGGAGACCAGAGATGGCAGCACGCCTACCAGCCACCCTACACAGCCACATAGCAGTGACTGGCTGAAGCATTCCCTGAGTCAAACACTGACTCGCCCCTCCTTGACAGATTCACAAGTTGTGCCATTAGTTACCCCTGCTGCTCTGGCAGACATGGGACATCTGTACAAGCTGCCCACTGCGTCCTCACCAAGCCGACCTCAGATTTACCCATCTGGGATGTTTGCTCCATTATACACGTCAGCGTCAGCTACACCTCCTCAGTTTCCTGCCTACACCAGCCCCTCTGCAGTTCAAGTGTCAACGGTACCAACTTTCAGCCCATACTTACATGTAAGTGGGTACCCCCTTGGCTACCCTGTGGTAGCTGCCCAAGGTACAGTCGAGCCAAGCCCATATCCAACAGTGGAATCCTATTCAGCTATGTTAGCCAGCATGGGTAGTCAAGTACAGCAAGCACAAGGCTCCCGACTACCTGTGACGACTTACCTGCCTCCTGGGGTGATACCTTTACCATATGGTACCCAGATCACCCCTGGTATACCTGGACTTAGTCTATTGCCAAAAGGGGCTGTTCAAGAGTCTGTCCCTGCTGTTGCATATATCAACCAACAGCTTGCAGGTCCAGGTATTCTTCAGAGTGGTCCTCATGTCTTAACAGGTTTAGTTCCTGTGAGCAGTAGCATGATCAGCTTTCCTCCAAGAACAGAGGATGAAGCAAACAGACATGATCAATCCCAAGAGAAAGGAGGTGAGCAAGAGCAGATGGCCACCCCAGTAATCGAAGGGGCAGGAGAAGAAAGAGTCATGCAAAGACACTCAGAAGCTTTGCCAAGGCGGACATTTGCAGCCAAGCCACATGTGATGTTTGATAAACCAGAAGTCCCTCACACTGCACAGTTACAGAAAATAGAGCCTGCAGTACAACTGACACCAGCTGATCGGCAGTCTGAACAAGACAGAACGCCTTATGCAGTGACTGGCACACGCCATGAATCAGTCATAACTGCTGTGTCTCTAAGCAGTGATAAATCCAGACCATCATCCCAAGAGGAGCATCCCGTCTATACAGTAGGGGAGCACTCCCATTGGGGTGCCAGCATCGAACGGACAGGTGCATTCCCCATCTCTGTTCCACCAGCAGTGCAGCATTCACCTCAGGTCAGGTTCCAACTAAGCCCCTCACCACAAGCAAGGCCCTCGCCAACTATCATACACACCCCTTCTGCAGAAACAGATGGCGTGCCCCCACCAGTGATGCCCCCATCAACACAAAATCAAATGACTTATGTAATACCAGCAACCGAGAGGGTTCAACAGAACCAGTCCCATCACCATCCCCAAGGAGCAATGGGACATTCTTCACCGGTAGAGCCCAACCACTCCCAGGTGCAGCATCTACTAGGCCTTCCTCAGATACCAGCCTCGCCATTCAGTAACATACCCTCTTACTTCACGCGGGGATCTGTCATCCAGCTCGCAAGCGGGGAGCTGAAACGTGTGGAGGACATCCGAACAGAGGACTTTGTACACAGCGCTGACATGTGCGAGGGACTAAAGATCGATTCTAGCACAGTGGTGCGTATCAACGAACTTCCAGACAATGGCGTGGCACTCATTAGTTTTCTGGTTGGAGAACACAAGGCCCAGGTGATCATTTTTTTTTCTTGGTTTCAAAAGTTATTTTTGCCAACCTTCTTGTCTTAAGGGTCTTATTATGCAGCTTTTCATTTTTCCAGTCCAGATGAATTTATTGCTTATTGTTACAGTTTTCACTAGAAAGACTAATTTCATGTACGTGGTTTGCATATGAATTGTTGTCAATTAATCCTCTTATCCTGAGGTCACTCTTTGGGTCACTTGGTAAACACCTCAAAGAAGCACAGCTGTGTTGTGTTGTGCACTGCACCAACAATCCCTTACAGGAATATCAGATT